AAATAGAACTCTAAAGCTAGCACCTTTTCTTCTGCTATTTAACCACTACAACAACGAAGCATGTGTCTAGCACACAGATTGCTTCCAAAGTGCAAAACCAAACTCTTTCAATCACCTACTGTTCTTTTCATCTTTTCTGTATTCAAAGGGCTTTATCTTTTTCTCTAGAGCAGCTTCGTCTCATGCTTCTGTCTGGTGATCTAATAAATGATCTCTATTTGAAATGATGAATCTCCAAGAACAAAATTCTTCTTCAGTGGCAGTCTCTTGTGTTTTATTCCACCTAACGGTAAAAGCCTCTGTCTTAAAAGAAAATTTCACAATTCACACACCCAGACAGGAGTCACCTGTAAGCTATACAACCCAGTGAATGTTTTAACCAGTTAGAAGCAGTAAATTTCAACTGGGTTTCAGGCTGCTTTGTTTGCTTCTCATTGAAGATTGGAAACTTGGAAAGACCTCTTTAAACGCATTATTTATTCCAAGATGATACTTGTGCAAGGTTGTTCCTTTAGGAGGAGTTAACACATTTTGGATTTAAAGCACTTTTGCAAAGCCTATACCAACACCATTCTCATTTCCCTGGACACCTGAAGTCCATACCATCCTTCCCTCACTAGCCCCAAGCCCCATGACAGATGTGCCTCTCAGAGAATCGGCAACATCCCCTATAGTCTACCAGCCTGGGTAACCAGGTAGAATCACAAAAAGAAACAGAAACAGAATCCTTTCTATTTCTGTTCAGTTTGTTAATTTCAAGTCATCCCCAATTTTTAGGTAAAACAGCAAAATTCAGTGATTAGTTAAAATGTGTGGTTTATACTTTGAGGTTCTGCCCCTAGTGAAATAATGGATCTGGGCAGTGCTCTTCAGTGTCTGCTAACATCACAGAGAGGGGAACAACCTGGCGCTATGTGCCGCCTGAGGGAGTATACAATGCCACCTGTGAAGTATTCTGACCCCCACATTGAACCTGAGTCTGATCGAGTCTCTGGATCTAACTAACAATTTGCAGAAAATACAGGAACAGAGGTGTGATTTAATCACCTGTGGTGATTTAATGCAATAATTAGAATCCAGACTATTGGAAACTCAACTGCACAGATGAGTTGGTTTCTTAAGTAAATGGCAGGAAGGAAAAAAGGAATAGAGGGAGGAAACCTATGGAGTGAGTCTTAAGAGCTCTATCAAACAATTGCGGAGTATAGACCCTATTTGGTTTCTGGCTCAAACTACCAAAATGTAAAAAGATAAAATCAGAGACATTGAAGAAATTTAAACACTTACTAAATATATCATAAATTAAGGAAGCATTGATTACTAGGATATTTTAGGTGCAATAATGGAATTGTGGTTGTGTATTTTTTAAAGGAGCCCTTATCTATCAGTGACATATGTTGAGATATTCATGGATGAATTCTTACGCTTGAAATTTATTTCAAAATAATCAGTTGGGTGCAGAGAAGAACAGAAGTAGGCGAGGATATAGATGAAACAAGATTGGTGACGATTGTTGAAGCCAAATGATGGCAACCTGGAGGTTCAGGATAACTTGCTGTCTGCCTCTGAATGTATAACTGACATTTCCTCTAGAAAAAGTGTTTGAAAGAGAGAAAGAAGGAAAAGAGAAAGTGAAGAGAGTGGGGGGGGAAAGCCACAGAATAAAAGATATTTGCAACACAAAAACAAGTCTGTTGCCAGAATAGATTCAGAACCACTCAAATCAAGAAGGATAAAAAAAAAAATCAACTTAATGGAAAAGTTAGCAAGAGCATTGTGAGATGTTACCATGAGTTAGCACTATCCACTCATCAGAATAGCTACCATTAAAGATAATACCAGGAAAAAGAAAATAAGAAAGAAAAAAAAATGTGTGTCAGTCTGGCATGTTAATCACCACTGAAAATTTGTGTCCTGATTCAAAGAAGGAAGTTTGTAGCCTAGTGACTAATCCCCTAGTTTTTGGAGTCAACCAGAACCAGCTAAGAGTTCCGTTCCACTCCGTGTTAGTCACATGACTCTGGAGAAATCATTTAACTGTGTTGTAGTTTCTCCTCTACAGTTGAGGTAATATACCTACTTCAGAGGGCTATCATGAGGATTAGATAACATCATGTGTGGAAAGTGCTTCTCATGGTGCCTGGCACATAGGAAACATTCGATAAATAGTGGCAACTACGATTTCAGGAAGTATATTTGGAGCAATCTTCCCTTTGCATTTCTTAGGTAGAAAGCCCTGTAAGAGCCGAGGGAAGAGGAAGTTCCGTAAAAGCCCATCCTCACCTGGTCACGGAGTCTTTCTAGACTAGGTCAACGCACCTCCAGTGACCTCCATGGCCTCAGTCTTTCGTCATTCAACTGCCCATTCATTCATTTATTCATTCAACAACACTGACTGAGTGTATATTATGCGCAAGGCATTGGGCTGTATGTACTGGAGAGAGGTAAAAACCAATTAAAAATATAATCTGATGTATGCTCAGAACTAAATATTTGCTAGTTAAATATTTATTCCTTCAGAAGTCACTGGGATTTTTTTGTGTACTTTCTGTGTCATCGTTAGCTTATAATCACAGAAAGGCATTGCTTATGTCCAGTGTTGTCTTTACAGCTCTAAATAGAGGAAAATTTCATGAATATTGCTGACTGGCGGACAATTTCAAGTTAGAGACAAGAGTTTTAAGTTTAATACATTATTTTCATAGGGCTGGGATTGTGTAAAGGTGACCTTTATCATCAATGATTTAAAAAGTGATTCACTTTCATTGGGGAACATATAATGATTATATAAAGGAGAAAATAGAACATAACTGTAACCCTAGAAAGAATCATAATAATGTTGTGATATGTAACCTTTTAATCTCTTTTCTGTAATTCTACAAAATTGGGTCAGACTATGCATGTTGTTTTAGAACATGCTTTTTATTTACTAATATATAAGAAGCATTTTTCCATGTTGTTGGATTTTTTCCTAAAACATGATTTTTAATGGCTGCCTAGCACTTAAAAATACCGTTATTTATCTCATTCCCTGTTAGATATTTGGATTTCTGTTTTAAATGTCTTTGTAGTAGAAAACTTGTGTACATTTCTTGATGACTTCCACAGCGAGCGAAATGACAGGGTTTGAAGTGGAATTACAGGGTCAAAAGGCAAAAACACTTTTAAGGTTTTAAAACGTGTTCTCAAATTGCCCTCCCAAACTGTATCAATCCACAACTCTAACCAGTGACTACAGGTCGGTTCCTATTTCTCTGTTACCTTGTGAATTGGGCTTTTGAATTATTTTAATCTATCCTGATTGAATAGGTAGAAAATTACATCTTGTTTTAATTTGCTATCGTGATAACTTGTATTTTAGCAAGACTTTAAATAAACAAAACAACTTTGGTCATCACTTTCTGGGGAAGTAGAAGAAGTGACCACTGTTTAATTGTTTGATCAGTTGTTTAACTCAAACACTTCCCTTGAACTTATTACATGAAGTTGACCACGGGGAAGATATGCAATGTATATTATATATATTTTTGTGGGATGAAAAGATTTGTAAATAAACACCATGTACTTATGAAGAGTCCATTGTATAGAAATGTGAAAGGAGGGGCGGGAAGTCATAGTAGAGGCACAAAAGAGACAAGGATTATATGTGTTACTATCTTGCCCAGAAGGAAAGAATGAAAACACAAATGGAAAGCTAGGTTAAGGTCAGACTGTGGAGGGCCTTGAATGCCAAGGCAAAGAACTTGGATGAAATCTAGTGGTCAGTGGGGAGCCGATGAATGTTTTTAAGAGGAGCGTAATCAAAACAACTATTTAGGAAGAGTAACCTGGGGAGAGTGTGAGTCGGGAGAGGGAAGTTCTAAGATGATTACAGGTAACGTTGTAGAAGAATAAATATGCTAAGATGAAAGATGTAGTAGGAAAACATTTGTCAATGGGAGCAACAAGTAAATTACTGAAGCCAAACTGAGGGCCTGAGGTAATGAAGAGAGAACTATAAAACCAGCCTTCTTACCTTTATTACCTGCCTGTCGCCCCAGAACCCCACTGTCCACAACAGTGAAGACAAGATTGGATGCCTCCAAAGGTGGACTCGGTGAATTTCCATGATGCAGATGGATGAGTAGAGGTTCTGCAGAGTACTGCTCCCACCCAGCCACCCGTGGAAGATTTCCAAAGATCAGAGGAGCTCCACAGGCCACACAGAAAGTGCTTTGCTGAACACACTCAAGCTGCCTCATATAATAGGGTGTAACCAATAAACTCACCAACAAATCAAGGTGGCGCAGTTCCATTTCTGAGGCTGCATGGCTGGGCTGCTGTGGTAACTGGAACAATGTTTTTCAAGATGCAGAAGAACTTTACATCATCCAATGACAGCTAGATGGCAAAAACTCTATTCTACTCTAGTCCCCATTCAGGTTTCACTTCCCAAGTGTGCAACTAGTGCACTCACACAGGGGCCCTTACTCGGAAGGGCCCTGTGCTTGACTTAATGCCCTGTTCCCACCATCTTGAAATTCTTAATAATCTTTGGACTTGTATTTTGTAAGTGGGGTCCAATGGGATGATGGAGCCTGCGTGTGAGTAGGAGAGATACTGCAATGTGCATGTCCTTGCCTGCCTGTTCACGTTGTGGTGTGGCTGATGCCCCATTAACATAGAATTCCAGTGGACCCACAATGTGTGTGATCTCCAGCCAGGTGCAAGGCAAGCGTGTCCAGTTCATGACTGAGTGTGAGGGGGTACTGATACTTCTCAGAGGCCATGCTTTCCATCCAAACCTGAGCTTGCTTCACATACAGGGAGAAAGCAAATGGCAGCCTAAGAAACAGCAGCAATCAAGGAACTCAGAGGAGAGGAATAATCATTTTTTCCCTCTATCTTTCTAGGTTCTTGGCTGAGACTGCCCGTGTAATAAAAGACAGATAACAAGAGAGAAACAAACAAGTTTAATAACATATATACCTCCTGTATACATGTGAGATACCCAGGAAAACTGAATAACTCCCCTAAATGGCCCAAGCCACCACCTTAAATAACATCTCCAGGTAAAGACAAAAGAAGATGTTGGGGGGCAGTGGGAGGAAAGCCAGTTATGGAAGATTATCGAGCAAAGCACAGCTAACCAAGGACATAGTTTGTATGCAGATTTTAGTCACTTGCCTTCCCCATTGATAAAGAGTTTCTGGAGGCTTAGTCATCTTGCTCCTCCTGGTACAGAGAGGGAGACACCCTTCCTTAACGGACCTTTTTCTTCTAAATGCAAATTTCTCTTACAAAAGGGTAACTTCTCACTTTTCAGACCTTCTCCTGTATCTACTATTTCTTAAAAATAACCAGCCTAGGGCTTCCCTGGTGGCGCAGTGGTTGAGAGTCTGCCTGCCGATGCAGGGGACACGGGTTCGTGCCCCGGTCCGGGAAGATCCCACATGCCGCAGAGCGGCTGGGCCCGTGAGCCATGGCCGTTGAGCCTGCGTGTCCGGAGCCTGTGCTCCGCAATGGGAGAGGCCACAACAGTGAGAGGCCTGCGTACCGCAAAAAAAAAAAAAATAACCAGCCTAAAATAATCCTTATGCCGAAAAGATATATTTGGGGTGGCAAATTCTGCTCCCCTTCAAACCTTGTCATATTCTTTCTTACCTGTGTTACTTTCATGTCTTAGCCAACCAGTTACACTGAAAATAATGACACAGAAGGAAGAGGAAGACAGGGCAACCCATAGTCCCAGTTCTTTTCAGTCCTCTCTTGCTACTCATCGGTAGCAAAAGGTACAGAGTTGGTGGAATGCGTGTGTATCAAGAAGTGACATAAAAACAGGTGAGTTCATTTTGTGTAAAGCACAACTGCATTGTCTGAGCTATGAAATACAAATTGTGTAATTTCAGTGATTCTGCAAACAAGTTAAAACTGGCACTCAAAGCTGGCATTGCATAATATAAAAATGAATGGTAAAATTTACGTTAATAATTTTTAATTTTTGTTGACTTAGAATGACATTAAATGACGAATACAGTTCACCATGGCCAGTCAACATCAGGACCTTGGAAGAAAAGAAAAAGCTTTATATTAATGACATATTTCCCTACGCTTTGAACAAGGGGCCCCATATATTCATATTGCATTGGGCTCTCCAAGTTATGTGACCAGCCCTACCCTCAATACACATATAAGCTCTGAAATTAACTGGGTTTGAATTCCAATGTTGATACTTGCTGACCTTGGGCAAGTTGTTAATCTTTCTAAGGTTCAGTTTCCTCATCTGTAAAATGGGAATAATAACAGTTCATGTCATATAACCACAGGATCTTTATAAGGATGAAATGAAATACTATAAACACAATTAGCACCTTGCCTGCCACATAGCAGACGCTTAATAAATGTTAGCTCTTGCAGGATAAATTGTTAGTTACTGCAGTCACTCTTGTGCTCCACCATATGGTGATGCTGGTGGAGACTTACTCTGTGTGCTGTATTTGACCGGCCTCCACCTAGCTGACCCCCTTTCCCTGTGGCACATGCGAACTCCTTGAGGAAGCTTATGCCGGTCATTCCTGAGTGGAAGACACTGTCATGAGGCTGAGTGCTGGTGAGTCACTGCCGTCTTTTGGATGGCTGACCCCAGATAGGGCTCCCATCCTTAATCCCATTAACTATAGCCAGGATAGCAGGGTTACATGCTACAAAGCATAAGTAACTCCTAGAAGAAGACCATGGGGTGCAACAGTCTCTTTGATGCTGCGAAGGAGGGGGCAATGTAATGAGTAGGCACCTCGGGTTGTTCATCCAGGAAGAGGTCTGGATGCCTTCTGATGTGGTCTTTGAAATGTTTGAAAGCCAAAAAAATAGGTCTTTTTGATCATTTGGTTATCTACTAGGGATCAGATAGATTCATAGGTACATTTCCTTTGACAGAACACAACCCTGAAATCACAATCCTACCTTTGAATGCACAGAAAAAAATTATATACTTATATTGACATGACAGTCTACGACACTGAAAGCTTTACTCCAGCAGACATCCCACAGGGCTTCTGAGGGCGTGCTCTACAGACTGGTATAAAAATAAACCAGAGGGCTTCCCTGGTGGTGCAGTGGTTGAGAGTCCGCCTGCCGATGCAGGGGACACGGGTTCGTGCCCCAGTCCGGGAGAATCCCACATGCCGCGGAGCGGCTGGGCCCGTGAGCCATGGCCGCTGAGCCTGTGTGTCCGCAGCCTGTGCCCCGCAACGGGAGAGGCCACGACAGTGAGAGGCCCGCGTACCGCAAAAATAAATAAATAAAAAATAAACCAGAAAAAAAAAAAAAAAGAAACCAGAATAGTCATACAAATGCAGATTCCTGGGCCGTGCTCCTAGATCAATGAAAATCGGAATATCTATGAGTCATGAATCTGCCTTTGAGTGTTTGTGGGCAGCAGAGGGCAGAAGAGGGTGAACAATGATAAAAATGAATTAGGCATAAGGACATTTATTTGTCCCGGAGCTGTTAAACTCAACCTACATCAGGCATGTTCTTCCCAAAGTTGTGGTTGGCCGTTGCCCTGGAATATAAGCTTACAGGTTCTTTGTAGTCTCGGGGTTCTGAGTACCGAGTTACTGTGTCATTCTTTGTTGAGATCTGAAGGAACCTTCTAGACGTGGGATGAAGTCTGAGAAAGAGGAGAAGGGTCATAACTGAGGACTCTGAAGAAAAGCATTTGAAGACGTGTGAGGGAAGGTTTTGGTACGCCCTGCAGCAGCAGGCATCAAGCTACATTACACCTACACTTGGGTTATAGGAAGATGTTCCAGTGAGTACACGGCAGGGTAGTTTTATGGAAACCAATTTCCAGATCCTCATCTCACACAGGTGTTCGTTCCTGAAACTGGTCTGCCTTAAATTGAGTCAGCTTCTGCTGCTTCACCTTCCCCTCCTTTTCACAGCACCCCTTCTCCCACTTGAGAAAAGAAAGGCAGACCTCTCATCATCTGGGACAGTTGGTTAGGCCTCCAGTGACCCAAGAGCTGAAAGGTGGGCAGGGTTAGAGAAGGAAAAGCAACTGGCGAAATGACTGCCGTGAAAAGAGATCAGTGCTTTAACCAAATGCCATGATGCACTGCAACAGCCTCCCAAACTTATCTTGCCTCCGAAGACCCCTGATAAACGTGCTTTCTGCACTTACTCTGGCCAAATGATCCAAGTTGTCTGATCATCAAATAAAATCAAAGAACAAGGGATCAGAACTTTGAAATGCATCCCCTTTAGAATGCATCCATGACCCCACCTCCCTGCACTCCGCAGACGCTTGTCTCCTTAGCAGGGGTAGGGGCTGCTACCCCCCTTCAATACAGTACCTACAGTATGGGGCTGGAAAAGTCATCAAAAGCATTAAAGGTATCAGGGATGTTTACTCCACATTCCTATCTAGTTGCTGCCCAATTAACATGATTTGCAGCTGAGAAAATAATACTCTCCTCCGTCAGAGATCAATTGGCTCCCCAAACTGTGAAACAAAGGGAAGAGAGCCGCTGATGTTTATAGAAGTTATTGCAAACAAATGCACTTCAAAAGGAACTGTGGTGACAGATTCTGTTTCACAGGGTCCTCCCAATTCTTCTCAGCCTCACGAGACCCTTCCTCAGACTCTGCTGGGTATTTTCACCACTGGCCTGCTGCTTTAAGATATAGTGCACTGTGTGCAATTACCCTAGTCTAGAGTCTAGACCTGTCCTGCCCAGTACAGTAGCGATTGGGTACTTGAAAGGTGGCTGGTTTCAATCTAGGTGTGCTGTAAACATAAAATACACACCAAATTTCAAAGACTTAGTACCCCCAAAATGTAAAATACCACTGATGATTTTTATATTGATAACATGTTGAAACGATAATTTGGGGGATATATTGGGTTAAAACATTATTAAAAGTCATTTCACCTGTTTCTACTTGTTTATTTAGTGTGGCTATCAGAAAATTTAAAATGACATACGTGCCTCACATTTGTGACTTGAATTATATTTCCAACAGACAGCATGTCTGTCTAGACTGTGGGTTCAGCAGCCTCGGGCGAAGGTTGATGGGAATGTAAAAGTCCAGTTCTGATGGTAAACGAAGTCGGGGAGATTTGGGGCTGGCAGTGACCCCTCTTGCCGAAAAGAGGTATATTTGTGACAACTGCCGCATGTGGAGCCCAGGCTAACAGATTGTAAACCTGCCTTCCTTCTGGTTCTAATACTTACTTAACCTCAAAGGAACTTTAAATTTAAACCAAATGGCATGTGAGATTTTAGTAGGCTGATGTACTGCTCTCCGTTCAGCCATTTGAGAAATCCTACTGAGGTCTCCGCGCAGCTGAGTTCCAGTCACCACCATATCCCAATGGAAGTCTGGCACAGCACTAACGAGCTGATGAGATTTTTTTCTCACTTGTTTGATATTAAATAGGAAAAAGCCTTTTGAATTAAACGTTTACAGATAGTGTGAAAATTGGAAATGCAGGTTTTAGCTGAGCCAACGACAACAGATTCAAGACTGCAGTTGCCTGATGGTGAGAGAACAGTGCTTCTGGCTCCCATCACGAGCTCCATCACCAGCTTGGGTAAGTGGTGGATTACTCTTTTCCAGTGGTGAGTTACTCAACACACTGGGGTCACTGGGTTTGTTCCACTGTGGGTACAGCTCTGTCCTAAACATCATTATTTAAGAGAACAGCTTACTGATCTAAGCCAGGAATGGAAAGCTTTTGGATTATGAAGCTGAATCCATTTGTTTTGCTCAGAGGCTGTTGCCAGACCTTGGCATGGGTCCCTCAAATAACAACAGCAGCAGCAACAATAATAACAGCAAATATTTATTGAACACTTACTATGTGCTCTAAATATGTTAGGTCACTTAATCTTCAGCCCTGTGTGACATAAAAGGTTTTTTGGTTTTGTTATGGGGTTTTTTGTTTGTTTTTTAAGTTGCCCAAGGTTACATAGTTAAGTGGTAGACCCAGTCTATTTGACCAGAGCCCACACTTAGAACCACTCTGCTATTCTTATGGAGAATAAATATTAAAATCTCAATAGCATCCTTCAGAAATAGCAAAATGATGAATCAGAACTTCTCCAGTCATTCAGGGGGCCGGGAACATATGTGTAAGCCAATGACCACAATGTAATTGCTTTCTATTACCATGATGCTTTTTGGATAAAAAGATGCTTAGTAAGAACTTAGTTCACACAGAACTACCTGAGAATAGCTTCCGGATTTTACTTTAGTAAAATCTTCCAAAATTGGAGATAACATGGTGTAGACAAGACAAACTTTCTTTCACTGTGAAAGTCTTTCTTCAAATAAAATCTTACCCTTAGATTAAATTTTAAAATAGTAATAAAAAGGGAACTGCTCAGACCTCCACAAGCTCATCCATCTGTACTGCATAATATGGCCCCAGGGTACCCACACAGCCTGTTAGGTGTGCAGAACAATGTGGAACTACTGGAGAACCAGGTTAGGAGGTCTGGATTTGAATTCTAGTTTTGCCACTTTCTACTCCTGTGAGCCTCGCTGAGCCTCCGGACAATTGTTGCTCCCATCAGGTAGCTGTGATTCCCTACAGTTCTCTAGAAAAAGAAAGTCGATCAGATAGAGCTTTTCTAAAAAGAATCTTCTCTCCATGGGTGCAGAAGGGAAGGTCTTGCCTTCCCAGGCTTCTCACCACACCTCCCTTTCTTGATTTGGTGCAAAGAGCCAATCCCTAAATTGAGTTTTCACCTCTGAAAGTGGCCTCACCAGTTCCCATGGGGCTGAGGTAGGCCATGGCAAAGTTTCTTCAAACGACTCTTTCCTGATGGGAGGCACAGAACATCGGGAAGAGAATGGGGAAATCAGAGGCTGAGCAAGGATCTTATTTAAGAGGGGCCTGTACACGAACCAAATGCACCATGGAGCTACACGCCATCCAAAGCTTTTGTAGCAAAGCACAGGAATTTCTTTTGCTCTCTTCCCCAGCCACATACCTCCATTTCTTTCCTCAGATTCTCATGAGGCTATACCAGGAAAGGGATGCTATGAAGTTTGGGGCTCCATGGAGAAAAGATACTTTTCTGAAAATCAGTGTTTCAATAGAAAGCACCTATGGATGGATGGTGAGTGAAAACAACATTCGAGAAGGCTTTTGAATCACAGAGTATCTTCTCCTTAGCTGAGGAGCTTGTCGAAGAGAATGATTCGAGTAATCACAGGATTATCATTCTACTTCTCTTGTCCCTGTACCGAGTTGTCATATCTCGTCCGAACTAGAACAAGAAGGATTTGCTACAGAGTGCCTTCCACGTGGCATCGTGCACAAGGCTGTCAGTGCTACAAAAATAAGCAAATTAAATCCAAAGACACGGCTCCTGATTTGAGGGGCTTGTTGGGAATTTAGACATAGAAAACTGAAACCATTCCGGGCAGTCAGAAAAGCTACTGATCAATCCCTAGGGTGGCTGTGCTATCATTCAGACAGATCACATGCTCTGTTCTTCAGACGCTTATCAGACTCTGGTAAAGAGATAAAGAGTTGTGTGGTGTGCGTTAGGGGTACCAAAAGCATCTGTCTTCTTAGGGTACACATGCTGAACCCTTCATGGATCCCCCTAGTTTCCCCTGGACTGGTCATCCTTTTTATGGATCTCATTAACCCTCCTGGGCCTGTCACATCTTACTTTTCAAAGAATTGCTGATGGCCTTAGTACATATCTGTCTGGATGTGTTTTCATTAACTTACCTAAACCCGGAAGCTTTAACTTTCCAATAACTTACTAGGCTTGATGCAAATAGGGGGAAGAAAACTGTGTTAGCCTGTTGTCAATATGCCATGCTGAAAGCATCCCCCAACACGTGTCAGCTCTGCAGCTCACTTAACTTTTCCAGATGTGGCTGGATGGGCTGCCTTGTCGGTGACATTGCAGATGAATGGCCACAGTCCACTATAGGCGGATGAACATGGGTACCTTTGATGTGATGGGGCGACTCTTCTCATCTATTAGCCAGAAGGAAAAGCCATTTTCTTCTGTTGAGCCCTCAGTTTATTCCCACCTCAAGGAGACCGTATAATTAGCGTATATGAACACTCAGAACCGGGGTCTGGGGCTCTCATTCCAGCCCACTGAATGTGTAGCCAGCAGCCCCAGGGGAGTCAAAATAAAACTTATGCCAAGGAGATCTGTAGGCTGTTCTTTTACCAGGCCTGATGTCCATATATGTAGGAAAAGGGTTACAGTTAACCTGTTTATCCAAACTTTCATCCCCAACACACAAAGCAAGGCACCTATGTCCCTTACTCTCAGATACAGTTCATCTTCTCACAACCTGCATATAGAAATTTCAGAATATAATAGCTCTCATCCTCCAGGGAGGAAAACAGTGATTGGAAATACAAAGAAGAAAAAGAGCTGTTTAGCCTTCTATCTTCCTGGCAGAGGTAGTAAAAGAACTTTCTGGTTTTCTTCTTCAGCAGGATGCACTGAACTTTGGCATCACAGTAGCACTGTTTTAAAATATGCTTTGTTTTGAAGTATTTAGGCAAGTTATTGAACCTCCAGGAACCTTGGCTTGCTCATCTGGAAAATTGAGGTAATACCTTGCAGAGATATGACAAGGGCAAAGACCACAAATGTAAAACCACAGCATAATACTTGCCACATCATAGGTCTCAGTATTTATAGCCATTTGTAGCAGTACAGTGGAAATCATTTTTTTCTTTTGGTTGGTACACAGTACATGAGGCTGGTAATTAATGAGCCCGTAGGAGCCTGGACATTTAGAAGTTACATTTGGAGGCTGACAACAGGCTTAACACAGAATTTCATAGGTCTAGTGACCAACTTATTTGAGGAAGGTTATCTTGTCCCAGTCCTTTTCCAGGGTTGACAGCAAATTAAAATCTATATTTGCAAGCAATTGATTATGGAAGGTCAGTTGTTGAAAACAACTTTGTACCTTTTTAAAAGATTCACTAAAGAGTTTTGGGGTTTTTTTTTCAGAGTTGGGTTTTTTTTTAAGTGACAATCTCCTCCCCGAAAGTGCATTACAATCTTAATATTATTTTACTTAGGGAATGTCAAGGGGTCCATGCAGTTCACATCTTTGAAAGCTGTGACTGGGTAAAGTTCATAAAGACCTAAAGGGTCAAAGTGGGAAAACAGTTTCAGAGGCAGGTGTAGTAAAATTACTTTTATCCTTGTGTTTCCCTGCAGAGGAGTGACTGGGCTTACCAGATCATATAGGTCCTTGTCCAAAGCATCTCGTGTTTAACGTGGTGCTCTGGCAGCATGGCTCCCAGACCCTTCAATCAGGTAATGATAGTTAATAGTTATACTTCTCTCCCTTAAATCATAGCATTACCGAATATAGAGTTGGAAGGAAACAGAGAACTCTAGCCTAACATCTTCATTTTATAAATTAGAAAGCTGACAGTGAGAGATTATGTTCTTGGCTCATCATTACTTGTTTCCTTCCAACCCTCACCCCACCCCATTGCCTGTGGGCTTGGCCACGTGACCTGTGTTGGCCAATGGAACGTGGGTGGATGTGGCATTTGCTTCAGAGCAGAAATGTTAGATGCAATTGCATGGCTTGGCTGGGGTCCTCTTATTTCAGTCCCCCCCACCCATGAGAAGAGCATCTCCTGGCTGCACCTTCAGTCTGGGTTTTGGAATGAAGCAGAGTTGCCACCAATCTACATGAGCAAGAAACAAATGTTTGACTAAGTCTGTGAGTTATTAGGGTTGTTTGGTTTATAGCATAACTTAGTGAGAGCTGACTAATACAATGACCCAGGAGGTTGAAGTGTTTCAGCCAAAATCACACAGACACTTTGTTACACAGCCTGGGCTAGAAGACAAGTATTCTGATTAGAAGTCTACTACACTTCGGCTTACCAAGTGCGTGCCCAGAACCTGGCAGTGTTTGGCGCAAGGTAAGTACTCAATATAATATTTTTCCATAGAAATGAATCAATGAGTGAAGTGAGGAAATAACTGAAAATTCTGTTGAACTGTTTCACTAGGTAGAACGGTATCTAGTTTAGTACTTCTATTACTATTAATACAAGTATTTGGGGGCGCCAACTGAGGGTCTTTTGTGTATTATGTACTCCAAAAGGATTACCTCTAGTTACGATGCATTCCTATCAGGCAGGTATTTTTAGTCTTATTAATAGACAAGTAAACTGAGGCACAGAGAGATTAAGTAACTTGTCCAGTCACAGGACTAGTGACAGAAAGAGAAACAGCTCCATTTGTTCTAACTCCAAAGCCCTAGTGTTTTCCATTGCTTCACAGTTTCTTTGCTGGAGATAGAAATTGTAATTTGGGTCATTTACAAACAATTGAAATATGAAGCTTGTGTTATAGCACGGCCCCTGTGAGGGGGTAAGTTGGCAGAGCTTCTCATGCAGTGTGTGGCAGCCACTGGCCTGCCAGTAGCAGGTCACACTGAGGCCTGAGAGGCAGGTTCCCTCAGTCCTCAGGGTATGGGGATGGTGTGTGATCTGGGGCCAGCCCCCTTTGATGGAGAGCAGCCTCATCACTTTACTCCTGTAGGCCATGCAAATATGACTGTTTTCTATATGTGCCAGGACACAGAAAAGTTAGAAAAGCCCTGGGTGAGAATCAGTGGTTCCAGGTCAATCTAGCCACATTGTGAGTGCATAGTTTTTAGAAAATTTTCTCAGCCAAATTTCTAATGGGACCTGCTTTACTATTTTGTCACCCACATTTTCCATTTGTCCTAAATCTCTCTCTTTTCTTTTCTTTAATTGGAATTATCTGGGAATCACCTTAAATCCTTTGTGGAATAAGTCAAAGAATCAGTGGATAGATGGATGGATGAAGCAACAAGGTCAAAATCAATTGAGGCAAGTTTTGATTGCAATTAAAATGAGCTTCTTTAGGTGGAAGCAACCCAACTGTCCATTGACAGATGAGTGGGGGAAAAAAACGTGGTATACACAAAGGAATAGTATTCAGCCTTAAAAAATAAGGAAATCTTGTCACCTGATACAACATGGATGAACATTGAGGACGTTATGTTCAGTGAAATAAGCCAGTCACAAAAAGACAAATATGCAAGATTCCACTTATATGACATATCGAAAGTGAAGTCACAGAGACAGGAAGTAGAATAGTGGTTGCCAAGGACTGGTGGGCAAGAGGGAGTGAGAGTTATTGTGTGATGGACTCAGAGTTTCAGTTTTGCAAGATGCAAACGTTCAGGAGGTTGGTTGCGCGACAATGTGAATATACTTAACACTACCGAACTGCACACTTAAAAATAGTTAAGAAGGGCTTCCCTGGTGGCGCAGCGGTTGAGAGTCCGCCTGCCGATGCAGGGGACACGGGTTCGTGCCCTGGTCCGGGAGGATCCCACATGCCGCGGAGCGGCCGGGCCCGTGAGCCATGGCCGCTGCGCCTGCGCGTCCGGAGCCTGTGCTCCGCAACGGGAGAGGCCACAACGGTGTGAGGCCCGTGTACAGGAAAAACCAAACCAAACAAAACAAAACCACTAAAGATTGCATATATATGCATACGTCCTCCACTCATGCATGTGGTCCATTGTCCCATTGGACTTCACTTATGAAACACAAGTTCAAATATAAAATTATTAGAAACTTCAAGACAGTGATAGCCAAACACAAACCAAGTGCAGGACCCGTCAGCTTGTCGAGAGTTGTGTGACCACAGAGTCCACGCGCCCGTGAAGCCAGCCTTGCCTCTGAGTCCATCCCTTCTCTCCCAGCCCCACAGCCACCACTCTAATTCCAGCTCCCCTTACTCACAAGGATCCAGGAATTTTAAAACTGTTTTCCTGCCTTCTCTTCCAACTCATTACCTTCTCTTCTCATTGCCTTCTCTTCTAACTCATCCCTTAAATTATCGCCAGTTTAGCTTCCTGAAAGCGATACTTCCACACATCACCTCCCTGCTTCAGTCCTTCGGTGGAGACTTACTGTCTATGAGGCTCAAGTCCTTCATAAAAAAATTCAGGGCCTTCCACGTTCTAGCCTTAAGAGAAATGTTGACTCCCTTTTAAACATTACTTTTGGGGAATTCCCTGGCGGTCCACTGGTTAGGACTCCGTGCTTCCACTGCAGGGGTCATGGGTTCAATTCCTGGTGGGGGAACTAAGATCCCACATGTGGCTTGGAGCAGTCAAAAAAATTAAATTAAAAAAAAAAACAAAACATTGCTTTTGTTCTTCTACCAAAAAAAAATAAATCCCTCAGAGCACAAAGGTTGCATCTGTAATTTATTGACTTTTCTGTACTACCCTACATAGCACACTGCATTCGTTGCTCAGCGAATGCTTTTTATTGGTTAGGTTTATTGAGGTATAATTTACATGTTTTAATATTCACTCTTTTAAGTGTAGAGTTTTAGTGAGTTCTGTAAATGCATATAGTTATGCAACTGCCACCACAGTCAAGATCTAGAACACTGCCTTCACCACAGAGGCTTCCTTTGTGCCCCTTTACAGTTCATTTCTTGCCCTACCCCTAGCTCCTTCCTGGCAACCGCTGATCTGATTTCTGTCCCTATAGTTTCACCTTTTCCGGAATGTCATCTAAATGGAATCAAACAAAACGTAGGCTTTTGTGTCTGCCACCTTTCACTTAGCATAATGCAAAATTCATCCATATTGTTGTATATATCAGTAATATATACAGTTGTGTGGATGTACCACAGTTTATTTATCGATTCACTAGTTGATGGGTATTTAGGCATTTCCAGTTTGGAGCTATTAACAAGGGTGATAGAAGCATTCATGAATAGGTCTTTGCTATAAATGTTAGCATACAGGTTATGTGGACACATGTTTTTCTTAGATAAACGCCCAGGAGTAGGATTGCTGGGCTGTATGGTGAGTGTGTGTTTAACTTTATAAGAAACTGCTTAACTGTTTTTCAAAGTAGCAGTATCATTTTGGCATTCCCACCAACAAACTAGATTTCTAGTTGCTCTGCATTCTTGCCAGAGTCTGGTATTATCAGTGTTTTAAATTTAATTTAGCTATTCTAGTAGGTATGTTGCGGTATCTCATTGTGGTTTAAATTTGCATTTCTCTTCCAACAAACGTTAAGCATCTCTTATTGTGCTTATTTGCCATGGGAATGTCCTCATTGGTAAAACGTCCAATTCTTTTACCTATTTTGTAAACATTGGGTTTTTCTTATTATTGAGTATATATGTGTATATTTGTATGTACGTATGATATATGTATGTATGTATGTGTAATATATATATGTATGTGTGTATACACACACACACATAAGAGAGAGACAGAGACAGTCTCTGGAATACATATATATTCCAGATATACCCTTTATCAACTATGTTTTGCAAATATTTTCTTCCAGTCTCTGGCTTATCTTTTCATTTTCTCAACAGTATGTTTTAAAGAACAGAATTTTTAAATTTTGATGAAGTCCAGTTTATCAATATTTTCTTTTCGGACCCATGCTTTCTTTTACTTATTCAAGAAACTTTTGCCTGACCCACGGTCATAAGGATTTTTCTCCTATATTTTCTTCTAGAAAGTTTATAATGTTAGCTCTAGCATTTAGATCTGTAATCCATTTCTAGTTAATTTTTGAAGGAAACATTTATTATTTGATGTGTAACTATGTTGCCCAGAATACAACCATTGAAAATCTAACTCAGGAATAAAAAAACATAAGTCATAGAATGAAGACCAGGGCCCTGTTAGAAAGCTTGGAATTGTTTCTTAAAGGCCCTGAATAAGAACATTTTATATATACTTTTTAAATTAGCACAGCTTTGCTATTTAAAGATGTGTATTTCAATAAATTTTGAAATTCCAGGTCACAGATGCTATCAAGAGCAAAATCCTCAGGTGGGCTGGCAGATGAAGGACACCCCTCTGGGTATTCTTGATTAACCTGCTGGATGTTGAGAAAACTCCAAACCTATTTTATTAGCTGTGAAATGGGTGTGATCATACTTGACATGAAGTTACATTATAGGCTTGCATAATCTGAGTCAGAAACTGTGTAGAGGGTCCACAGGGATCCCAAATTTAATTGTGATTATTGCTAATTATACTAATTCTCAGTGAAAACTGCTACCAGCAAGCTTGCCCATGACATCACTAATAAGGGGTCCATTGACTTGCATGTGTTGTGAGCATATTAATTGTAATTATTGCTTTGGCAGCTACAATGTCTAACTCCATAGGTGTTTGTTCCATTAGTGATTCATTATTTCAAAGTATTCTGGCAATGATGAGTCTGTTACCAACCAAGTCCCTCCTGTGATGAAATGTGATTATTCTGTGGGATTTGTAACTCTTCGTTCATGACTCAACTCATTCTGCCCTCACCACATGGGACAGTGGTTTAAAACTGGAATGGGAGAAAATGATTTCAGTTCAACCACTGGGTTTTTTTCTTTTTTTTAACCCTGGGAGCAGGTGCCTTCCCATAAATATTTTTCTGAACTGGAAGTTGCCATGGGAAGTGGGTGGGTGGTCTAGGTATCAGACTAAGGGCCTGGCAGTCAGTGGTCTGGATCTATCTTTGTGTCTAAAGGCCCTGGGCAATGGCAATAAATACAGAAGTCCGAAGGAGTGATGTGGCCCTGAGCCTGAACTCAGCAAAAAAGATAAAGAGAACTGCCTTCCAACAGCTATTGTTAAACACTTAGCACTTTGTATTTGACATGCTTTCAACCTGTACTTACTCTCCACTGCAGCCCTGTGAGTTAGGGCAGGACTCTCACAGGGAGAAAAGGAGAAACCGGGAGGAGGTGATCAGGGCTTCCCTGTCTGCTGGGCCTTTTCAGCTGGTCTTTGATAACATTTTGAATTATGAGTTTTTAGGGGTTGGAAGCCCTTGCTCTTTCAGTAAAGTTTTTTCCCCTTAACCTTTTAGCGTTAAAAACATTCAAAAGTAGAAAGAAA